GCATGGCTGTGGTGGCCGTTGCCAGAGAGGGTGTGGTCAGTGTGGCCGTCACTGTACCGAAGTTGCAGTCGGCAGTGATTTTTTGCAGTGCGGCCACATCCTCGGAGACGGAGCCCATCGTAGTTTGATTCGTTCCGTTGATGGAATTTGAACCGACTGAGCACTTTCGCTGGCTTGGGGTCGTGGTGCTCATTGAGGCGCTTGATGATCTCAAGCTCGACCTCCGAAGCTTTTTCTGCGCGGGCAGGGCTCGTACGGTGTCGTAGGTTTATTCATGCAGAACGCCAGGAAGACGGCTTGCTACTTTGCGGAGCTTGTGATGTTCTTAGCCTTGAAGTAGGATTCGAGGCATTCCAACTACAAACCTCAGTTTTCACCAGGAGAAAGCTTTAGAATTCATCCGCGATGAGCGGAGCCGTCCATCCTCAGGGGTCCAGAAACTTCCTCGTCGTTAATTGAACGCAAACTGGGGTTAAATGCGTTTCATTGATGAATTTTGGTTAAAAGGACGGTGCTATCAGAGCGTTGATGCATCACTGTGATCTAAAGGTGGCTCATTCAGTGTGGGTTCGGAACTACAATATCACGTCATGGATGCCCAGTTCCCAGTGGTGCTGGCTAGATTGACAGCTTTCAGGCTCTTTGTCAATTCCAGTGCCACACGTAGTCGCATACCAAGCCCTTCTATAGCGTTACGGAGAAGTTTTGTGACCAGAAGCGTAATAAAGGACTATGCTACAAGTTAACATTTGCTGTGCTGTTGGCAGTGGGTACGACTTCTGTTTCAAGACTGGATTAGTGATGCGTTTATGACATGCACATAGCCATATCGCGCCGTGTGACTTCCCCACGGGGACAACCGGAGTAGCCCATGTAGATTTCCGCACCGGGGGCAAAACTTCTTGTTGCACGAGTTGCGTGATGGTGTACTACACCTTTGGCTCATGGGCCAAAGGAACAAGTCGACGCTTGTGGTACTTGGGTTTGAAGTTTAGATTTAGTGTGAAAGTATGTGGGTCCGCCAAGTCCTTACTCGAAGACCCTTGGAAATTCTTTTGGCAGTCCTTGAGTTTGTGGGAGTGGCTCGGCTAATTGAGAACACTCTAAATAGTAGTGCTTTGTGTTGTGTTAGGCGGTAGACAAGAGCAAGACCGTCCTTTCTCAAGCCTCGACAAAGAGTGTTTCAATTTGTCATCTTCTTGGACCCCCCCACTCTCTCTCTCTCTCTCCCCTTCTGAAGGCGCAATAGACCTCTCCGCAAAAGACCTTGCAAAGGGGGGAATTGTGGGGCTCTTCGGATGTACGCTTGTGCCGGCTCGAATGCTTTGTATATCGTAGTAATAGCACGATTCACTCTTTCTTATCATTAGGAGCTCAGAACATGCTAAAAATTGAGTTAGTGGTAAAAAAGTGGTCACCACACCCTCTCTTTTGCTCTCCCTCTGCCACGTCTTCGCTTCTTGGACAATTCCTCGTGCCATACATCTGGACGTCGCAGTGCATAAAGTAGACGCTGGGGGCATCACATGTTTCCAGAAAGGTCTGTTGCCCACGCATCACGTAGCTTATCGAATACTTCAAACCGGTTTCTTTCAAGCAGGCTTGCTCCACGTCTTTTCACGGTCAGCAATGGTGGCTCACGCTCCTTTCCCTTGAACCACGTGGAAAAATTGACACTTCCCAGAACCACCAACTTACATTGTGGATACGTCCGGAGAGCAGTTTAGGTTTAAGTCTCTGCTGCCGTTCCAAGCCGACACTATCTCTTTAGAACAATTGTTGACCAAGCCTCACCATCTATGCAGATGAAAATTTCATTTACTTGAACTTCGACGATTTCTACCTTGGTTCAATGATCCCAGATGATGATTGGATTCCACTACCGGAGCGTAGTGCTTGGATTTGGCCAACTACTGACGGCATGCATGTATGATGAGTCCCTTTCCACCACAGAAATGGCGTGTTTAAAATTATAGCTACTTGCATTGTGCGCAACATTTTCTAGCAGTACTCAAAGATGTCTTCCCTGCGCCAGGGCTGTGGCTTGGCATTGATGAACCGTTTCATGCCTTGTGTAGGTGGTGTTTGTCCATGCGGCGAACCTCTGCCGTCTCTGGAGCCCGGAAATGTGGGGTTTTCCGTTTGTCGCACACTCCGCAGCAATCGCAAGTTGTTGAGCCCTAGCGAAAGCGAGATCTGGTGTGGCGAGAAGGTGTCGCTAAATGGCTTCTTCACACACCCTACAAACTAACTGGTCACAAAACTTGTACAAAACTTATGTCTACTCGCAGTGCTGAGCGACACGACGCAGCACAGCAATGTAGTTGGGCACAGACTCGCCGGAAGCACTTGTCGAGTGTGAACCGGTGACCTGTTGCCAACGTCCTTAGCCCCAAATCTCCTCAAAAGCGGAGACAAAAAAAACATATTGAAAGAGGGGCGTACACAGAGGGTTCACATGCGCGGCAGGAGACTCCACGCTTCATGTCGTCCACGAACTCATCAGCCAACAAGCAGAATTAAGTCCAGCTGTTCTCTAACCTGTTTTCATTCTTCTGATGTTAATGCTGGGTGCCTCCCCTGTTGTTTATGCACATATCCACGTGTTATGTACAAAAGCAGAGGTTACATCCATTCGAACTGTCTGGATTAATGCAAGGAAAAACACAGCTGCTCATCCGAACAGATACAATCAAACGTCTGCTCCGTGTCCAGGATTTTTGGGTGCAATTTTGAATCCGACACGAGTTCTTAAAACTGATTATTTTGCAGCCGTGTCAGTTTCGGGCTCAATTTCACATTTTGTCACATGCACACACATTTTCACAGGCACACAAGTGTGATGTAAAATTCCGACATGGTGCAGTATAAGTAAGAACAGAAGAGGTTTATTCATTGTTTACAATTGGTGTTTACAGCGAAAGGTGTCACACTTTAAGGCTTTTTCACTCACCTGCAAACTGCTTACGAATGGAATGACTTCAAACCGATTTAAGCCTCTTGTGACTGACTGGTCAGCCACTGGTCATAAGCTGTTGGAAGTGTGTGAAGCTGCTTTTACATGAATAAGCTGTAGTAGCTTCCAAAGTTACAGCTTTCATGTGCCTTTTACGTTTGAGGCGACATGCCCGTTTGCTTTACCCTAGGTCTCGAGAGAAACTATTATTACCATTTGTGAACTTCTTTTTGTATACGTAAACTGTTGCTTTTCAGTGTGAACTTGCCATTTTGCAAGGGACTGAGGAAATAGCATTTTTTGAAACCAGCACTGCATTGCAACAATATATTTAATGTGGTGAAATAAAAACTTTTCGAGTTCAAAGTATGCACTCTTGTTTTTTCTCTTCACAGTTCCACTGGGCATGCCTATCGTCATACGAGTGTTTCTGACGGTACTAAGCTAATTTCTTTACCACTTCCCCAATTTGCGGTTCGAGCGTAGAGCAGCTTTTTTTATTTTGGGTCGGGAGAGCCGCGGCACCGCTAGAAGGCAAGCACGAAGATCTCCGTCGCCGCGAGTAACGGTGATGCGATGACAACGTGCAGGCGAAATAAAAATGCTGGCAATACTTTAAATTCAGCTTGTGGGTCGGCGTAAGCGTTCGTGACGACAGAGCATACTTTCGTATCGAAAAAGGCAAGCGTTCATGCATGACATGGTTCACATCCGCTGCGTCGGCGACGAACCTGCGCGGCAAGAGTAGCGGCGACATCGAGACCCGACGTTGGAAACCAAAGGGTCGACTTCGGAAACCAGCGGTAGGCGTTGGTAGTAACCTTGCTTCGCTCTTATCAAGCGACAAGTTGAGAAGGCTAAGAGAAGTACTTGCACCTTTTACGCACTCCTGTGCAGAAGCACGATGCGAGACGTCGCATACTGCGGGCGTCGCGTAGTTGCGTCACCGCGTTCACAGCGTCTCAGCCGCGACTGCGTCGATCGCGTAGGCTTCCCGTCTCAAGTGTTTCTGGCTTCAGCCGCGACTGCACCGATGATCGACCGCGTACGCTTCGTGCTTCAGGCGGCGGCGGGCGCCATGTTTACCTTGCCACAGCGGCGCGAGTGACGTCATGTCACGTGACAATTCGCTAACCAATAAAACAACTGGTTTCGGTTTGGAGCGGAAGTGACGTCAGGTCACGTGACATGACAAATTGCGTTAGCGGAAGTGACGTCATGTCACGTGACAAGGGGGCGTGGTCAGGTGCTGTATACGGGATATGGTTTGCTTATACGCGCCCGGGTCACGCTACCCATGATGCACAAGACAGTCTGCAAGCACGACTCACCACAATATCCGTTGGTAGAATGACGCGTGCCCAGTTTTCTCCTTGAACTCATCGCCATGAGGCATTCGAGGCACGGATCTCGAGGTGACTCGCGTTCGGATCTGTTAGCAGACTGTATTTTGTATGACCCCGGTGACCCCGGCTTAAAGTGGCAGTACGGGTGCGCGGTACTTGATTGGTCGGAGAAACTGGCAGCCTCCACCCTCGTTTGTGTCATAACTTATGAAGAAGAGTAGTTTAATGTGCACTTTCTGCAGGCATTTGACACGACTGCTTCCTGAGCGTTCGTAGCAGATTTTCTTGCAATCAGTTCCAGTTAAATGCTCAACGCTAGAAACAATGACTAATACATCACACAACCCGGTGTTGGTTGCGGTGTCAAAACTAAAATACATTTCGCCTTATATGGGGAGCGACAAATTGTTGCATACGCGCCTTCCTTACTTTTGGAGTCCACATAAAAAGTTCGCTGCTTTGACAATGGAAAAAGTCGGAAATTACTTTTGGCAGACATAGTATGCCTTGAGCAAAAGGGGCGGGGGGGGAGGGGGGGGGTTATTGCACAAGTGGAAAGATGAAGCTCCATAAAAGCCATAGATTATTTCTTATATCACGTTCTTATTTAGGCCTTTGACCAGAGTAAAGAACTGCCTGAAGGGGAAGAAAATGCATTCGAAACTGAACTCGGAAAGTTAAAGTAAAATATGTTTTACCTAATAAAGTTACCTCATTGAACGTAAACTCTAAGGTGTTTCCACCTTCACTTTTCACGGATAGTATATTGATTATCCTGTAAAAAAGCAAGCAACAGTGTGTTAAGTTATTGTCACGGTTCATTTAGGGGCGATGCTTAAATGTTACCCTACGTTTCGTTCATTTCATCTGTGTAGATCAAACAGATGCTGGCTTTAGACATGTTCGCCTCTTTCTTCCACAGCATCCGCAAACACGTGGTCGGCTTTCCAACCAGCGAAGTTTCATTGGAAGATTTGGTGTCTTTCCGAAAAATATATTTGTTGTGGGGATTCTTCAGCAACTGGAATGGCAAAAAGTAGAGGCAGTTACGTGCTATTTTTTATTATTCTACATGAATACAATTGGTCTTTCTTGGTGTTTTGCTATAGCGGTGGTACATGTTCACGAATATAAGTTGTCAAAATAAAATGTGATCTTCCTGGAAGTAGGAAAAAGCAGACAGCGTCAAGGTAAATGTCTATACCACGAAAGTGCGCCTTGAAAGGGTTACGTTTTTCTCTATTGCAGAGTGCGGTAAATTCGAAACAGTGTAATCCTACATGGTAGCCTCACTTCGTTGACCTTCGTCACGCAGTAGTAAGAAAATTAAAATGGTTGTGAGAGTACTTCGCTGCATACACAGCGGTAAGTGTTATAGAACAAATACACCGGACCTTTTCATACCGTAAACCAAAATAGTATTTTAGATTACGGATATATTCTTAATATTTATATTCTATATGATATTCAGTGCACTCTAGAGACTATGAAATTTAATCGCAATTGCGCATGTGCCGCGTTTTCGCGTGGCGAAAAAGAAAGCAGGTGGAAAGGCAGAGAGACGATCAACGCTCTCGAAAACCTCCTCGCAGCTCTTATCGCAAACGCGCTCCATAGACCATTTGATCTCGATCGAGCTGTTGGAAACTCTCCGTAACACCGGATTTGCACGAGTAATGTTCGCACTTCTTATGAGCAAGGCCCTCGTGTCTACTTTCCTGCGTAGCACGCTTGTAGCCAATCATCGCGTTCTGCATAAAAACGCAACGAGTAATAAGGTCGAGAACACGATTCTCCGTAAAAATGCGATCTGAGCAGATAAAAGGGAGTTGTAGGAGATCGTTTTTCTCCTCCGCTACGCTATCCCCGAAGAAAACGCCACAGCTGCGCATGCGCGCCGCCAGCCTTCTCTGGATAGTTCACGGTCTTGTGGCGGATTACGGAGCGCTATCCGGGTGCTTAGCGGGCTGCGAGAACGGTCTACTACAATTCCCCAACGATTTCGCGTGAAAACGTTATCTCCGTCCCGTAAATAGGGAGTTTTCGTAGATCGTTTTCGCCGTCCCGCAAGGCCCTCCGCAACCCGCTACGATAGCGGGAACTCCACAGTCAAGGCTATCGGCGCGCAGGCGCAGTAGCAACTTCTTCGTTGCGGAACGCTTAGCGGTGGGGGCAACGCGGTCTACGAAAACTCCCTATTCGCTGTCATCTTTCCGTCGATCGCGGTGATTAGCTTTCCCCGTGCTCCGCGGGAAAGCAGGCCCACAGTACTTGTTCATCAGAAGGACGACTTATTACTCGGGCAAACACAGTACAGGCTTTCTTGTCATACATGTCAACAGCTGACACAATTTGTCGGGTCCTGCAAAAATCAGACAGCTTTATTTTAACGGATTGCCGCCGTAGATACTAAAATAATTATGCACAAAATACATCATCCTCGGTCACCTCTGTACAAACGTGAACCTCGGTACGCTAAGAAACCGATTCCTGCGGTCGCTTCAAATGAGCGAGAATTTCTTTGACTCACGCGGTGGAGGCCACGCCGAAGCAAGCGTCGGCGGAGCGCTCCCGCGATTACCATGAGCAACACACGATACATTCGTTTGTGCGACTGCGGTACCTTGAACGAGTCTTTTTGGAGTTGTCGTAGGCCGCGTTTCCCCCTCCGCTAAGCAATCCGCAGCGAAGAAGCAGCTGCTGCGCGTGCGCGCCGACAGCCTTGACTGTGGAGGTGCGGGTATCCTAGCGGGCTGCGGAGAGCGTTGCGGAGCGGTGAGAACGATCTACGAAAACTCCCTTTTGACCGGTGCGCTTTTTAGGGTCCTATGCCACCCGCACAGCAAACGTGGTCCCAAAGGTGCAAGGAGTGGCGCCACAAAAGCTGGCCTATAATGTGTTTTTGATCGCGATCCTGGCGCTTGCTGCTAGAAGTACTGGTAGGAGGAGGATGAAATGAAATATACGATCGAATGCGAGTGTCACTGCCGTTGCGGGATACCAACTCCTTAAAGGGATGCTGCAATGACGTTTTTACTGTTTTTCAATTTGCACCGAGCTTGAACGCACTGAACGTAACTTAGTGAAAATTTTCTCGAAATTCGCTTTATTTTATACGTTATAGGCAGATTAGAATTACAAAAACAAACAAAAAATAACCTCTCTCATGACGTCCCTGGTCCTGGCTTGGGTGGCCGTGAACTAGGGGAGGGGTAGTGAGCTCAGCGAGCGCTCACGGCTGCCGCACTCCGTGTCGACGGCTCGAGAGAGCGCCACTAAAGCATGTGCTGGATAGGCTGGATCATAGCCTCCTCTATACTGACAAAGCCTGGCAGTTCAATGACGGAGCCATAGAGTGCCCGGTCGCAAATTTGGAGCGCGAGGATCTGGTAGCACACAGCATTTCTCTGGGAGTCTGGTATTCAGCGCACAGCTTCTGCAGCGGCGAGGACCCCAAACATGGTTTTCAAACTCGGCGAGAAAAGAAGTGGTAGACCGAGGAACGCGAGAAGCACGAGCGGACATTCCATCGCTCGTGACAAGTGTGTTTCGGCGTCTCGCCGTAGCGGGGCGCCCGTTACATGATTACTGTCTGGCGCTCTACCTTTTCACTTTCGGCGGCAGCGTCTCGTGGCGATCTGCCATGCTTTGTCAGTATAGAAGAGGCTATGATTAGATGAAGAGGGCGGCCAGGGCGGCTCGCATTTCATTTGCTGCGCGATTAAACACTCATTCGGCATGACACTTCATTGGCCACGAACGAGAGCAAACACAGGGTAAGGATCAGTTCAGAACGGGAGCCACTTCGCGCTGTCAAACCGTCAAACGACCAAACCGCAAGCCAAACCTGATCGCCGAAGGCCTTCGGAACGCTCGGAACCGGTCGCATCCTGCAGCTCAAACGACCGCAGCGCCGCTGCGTACATCCGGGACCTTTCTATGCTTGTCGCTTCATAGGAATTGCGTGGCCGCGAGTAGGCGCCTTATCCCTCTACCCTTTTCTAGTATGCCCCGCCTTTTCCACCGCTTGGGGGCGGGTATGACGACGGGTCATTTCTTGTTTCCGTACTTTATAAACTGCATTTGTTTGTTTTTTATCTAAAATAAAAAAAAAACGAAAACTACTTTCGACAAAAACAAATTCACCCTTTCCACTCTGGTGAAGAAGGAAGAGCAGCGGAGCTGTACTATGTGACGCCGTCGATCATAAATGGCGGATGTTCAGAGGGTTGTGTCGAGATTTATTTGTCCGCGGGCACGCAACTGAAGAAACTAGCCCTTAACGCCGGTATAAAGGAAAAAAATTATGCGGTTTTGATTAGTCGTAAGGCAGGAGCTGGCTAGGACCAACAACGTCACGATGTCGTCACATGCCGCGCGTGTCCGGTACGACGGGGCACCCCGTGGGTGGAGGAAACTTCCGCGCCGTCCGGTTAAAATATTGTCGCGAATTGCGAGGCGGCGTACAAGGAATGACGTAGGAAACTGAAACGTTTAATAGAAGGAACGTGTGCCCAAAACAAGAAGGAAACAGAAGATAACAAGAGAGCGTCGCGGGCGTCGAAGTCGGCGTAACAGCAGGATTGAACGCTGGGGCGAGACTGACCCCGGCTCGCCCGCGGAGCCGCTTATGTACACGCATGAGCTTCTGGAACGCTCGGCGTAGAAAATTCGGCGCCTAGAACATTCGGACCTCGAATATACAACAGGGTTCTCGAATTTACTAGAATGCGAGAGTTACATAGATAATAAAAATTTACGTCCGCGGCCTGGAATCGAATCGTGGCGCTTTGCGTGGGAACCAAGCACGATAAAGGCCGGTTTTCACATGTAGCGAAGCGCTAATATAGTACTGCTCACGTGTCGTCAGCTATTTACTGTCTGACATGTGCAACAGTTTTGACGGTGGGATACAAAGCTGGTGAACGCTCCCGCCAGCACGCACCTAGCGCGAGGTGAGCGCTATGCTTGCAGCGCTCCGCTGCATGTGTGAACAGGCCTTAACGGTTAGGCCACAGGTGCTTTTTTTCTTCTCTTTATTCAGTGCTCAAAAACAGACTACCCAGATCTTTTGGGCAGCTGTAGAGTTAAAAATCCTTCATGCACAACAGCACATGCAACAGGCTTGCCCAGTCAGGCGTTGCGTCCGTACACTCAAATACACTCTTCACCTGAGTAAAACGTCCAGTGAAATACTGTGGTGCAGATTTTGGTTTTCTACTGCATGGCGGACATCCATACGAGATTTACACAGAGCAAACAAACCTAACACCATGATCATATTGAGCGGGACACTGTCTTGTTTGTTAACAGGAAGGAACCGAATAGAATGTGATGTTATATCTGTTTGCTTCTTCGTCCCAGAACATGATTGCGCCCTAGCAGTCTATGAATAAGTGCTCTACTGTCTCAGGCTGTTTGCACAGTAGACAGTTAGCACCCCAAGGTAAAAACATACCTCTCTCAGCCATCCATACTTTAACTGACAGTGCGGCACTATGCAGTCGAAAAAAGGATTTCGCTGCTGGGGTATCCACATCTTCTTTACGCAAACCAAGACATCATCCCCAAGTGTGTTAATGAACGAAGTTATGTACAAAGGAGGGGGGAAGAGACTATCAATTAGTTTTTTGGTCAACTTTTCGCTGGTGACAATGAACAAATACTCCCGCGAGTAACACGCCGTTTAAGGGGTTGTGCGGTCAAATTTTGTTTTCGAGAAAACAATTGAATATCATTGTTTTTGCCTCGAGACGTATCGTACTTGCAATATCTCAATTTTTCTATGCCCCTCTGCATGAGTAATTGAATTTATACTGCGCCAGTCGCACTCTAGCGTAAACGCTGTTTTCACTCGCAACATGGGAGCTCTGACGTCACACAACACGAAGCGAGCATTTCTGTCTCGTCGTTTACCTGCGAGTGAACGCCTCAGCGTGCTTTCTTTTTGTTGTTGTGCTCGACTTGTTTCGTGGCTGGGTGATATTTTTGTTGCGCGGTTGGGTGCCATTACCACCGGGCAGCACATGCGAGCCAAGACATGACGTTCCACACTTTTCCGAGAGACGTGCAGTGACGAAAAAAAATGGATCGTCGCCGTGCGTAGGGACTGGTTTTCCGTCAAGATCGAGATCCCGCTTATGCAGCAATCATCTCACAGAAAAGAGCTACGAGCTGAGCTCTAAGCGGACAGAAGGCTCGTTAGCTGAGGTGTGATGCTGTGACAACGATATTAAACTACGTCCATCCACTCTTCACCTAGATCGGATCAATCAATTTGTTTATGCAGCGAAACCGAAACCAACAGCTAGACCACCTTGAAACGATACGAGAAGTTGTATTTAGCACGCGTGCAGCCAAATTATGTTCGAGCCGCATGTGCAAAGAGAGCGTGGCTACCATTCACCAAGCTCGTCCAAGTCAAGTGACGACATGCATTTGAACGATTCGCCGGTTGCCTTCGACCCGCGATCATCGCCTCTGAGGGAAAGACCCGATCCAGTGGATCCGCCGATATGTGTACCCAGATACCGCTTCGTGTACCTAGTTGCCGCTTCAGAGGCGAAATCTGCGTCCTCTGCTGTGCGAGCGGTCCTAATTCGATCGGTGTCCGTCGCAGTTTTGCTTGCGCGAAACGGCATACGTTTGCTCGAAGCTTATGGCGTGACTTTTTTTTCACACGCTTGGGAACTGCAATAAATAAACCGTATTTCACTAGGGTACAGCTTAGGACAGTGGTTCTCAACCATAGATGTTTCGCGGACCCCTTGTGGATCGGTGGAGATGATGGAGGACCCCGTTCGTGGTGAGAGGAGAGGAAAGGTATAGGTTAAATATAATAATGATTTAATAAATGGGTATAACTAAGGGCTAGTGTGAATTAGACCTCTCTTATTGACGTTCACACGAAAAAAACTCGCCCGAATACTGAAACATTTCTTTTCGACTTAAAAAAAAAGACAACTTTTATTGCCGGGCTTGACTGATGAGGCAGGGCTTCGCGGACCCCCATTGGAGAATCACCGGCCTAAGAGGCTATATATTTCGAAATAAAATACAAGACATTTATCGACCAACGCTTGTTATCCCGACCATCCCACAAACCTTTGCGTTTTGTGACGTCACGCAGCAGCTACGGATGTCAACCATTGACTCTGGCGAAATTCGGGGTGCAGTTTCGTACAAACGCTCATGGAGGGTTTAATTAATAACGGGAGATCATATTTCAAAATAAAAAATGCTGTTTGTCTACATGAAGGCTCTCTCGACGTAACGAGCACAAAAACTTAAGTACTTGCGGTTTTGACCGGACAATCCCTTTAAGAATTCTAAAGCATTCACCACATCCTTCACAAAACCGACCTTCCTAGCCGGGGGGGAGGGGGGGGGGGGGGGGGCAATGGTAGAAAAAATGAGAACGGAAGGCAAGTGAGGAGTTATTCTTATAATGCAATTAAATGCAAAGGTGCAAGCGAGCTGGACAAGAATGACGAAAGTAATCCCTGGAGAAGGGGAACAAGAGGGACAAAGGACAAACATAAATCTCCAAACACAAATTCTTGTTTGAAACGTTACTTGCAAAAGGGGATGTTTGTTTTTTCTCAAGAAAAAAAAACAACAAAAAAAAACGGGAAATAATTTGTCGGACAAGTAGGTGGGACAGACCGAGTCCTCCTTTTGACACTGGACGAAAGAGGTTATCGCGAAAAGAATTGGCTCCGCCGTGCTTTTCCATATGAAAACAGCAAACACTCTATGCATTTCATGTATACTATGTAATTCGTGCACAGTGCAGAACTTGTAGTACATACCATAACTTGGCGATTAGAAAAAAAACATTGCAGACAGTGGCCCTAGTGAATATCGACATGTCGCGGCCACACTATTTGGTTCCCCCTCTCTTAAGTCCTCAACAACGTCCGGCCAATATTCTGAATTAGTTTCCATACACTGCCGCGAGCACAGCTGACTAAGTAGACAGCGCGCTCGTGGCCTAACAGTTACCGCGCGTGCCTTCCACGCAGAAAGCCAGAGTTCAATTCCTGGCCGCGAGTACGCATTTTTGTTGACTCTAACGTAATGTTCTGGTAAATTCGAGAACCGTGTTTCTGATTCGAGGTTAGAATGTTCTACACCCCGAGCCTTCCGCGCCGACTGTTCCAGAAGCCCACGCGTGTACCAAAGGGGCTCCGCGTGGCCAACCGGACTCAGTATCGCCCCAGCACTCGATCCTGCGGTTTCGCCGACATCGACGCCCGCGACGCTCTGCTGTTTTTTTCTCTTCCCTTTTTCTTTTGTTTGTTTTGGGCAAAAGTTCGCCCCATTAAATGTTTAGTTTCTTCAGTTATCATCGCCTCATCAATTGTCATTCGTGACATTTTGGTGGAGGTGCCGGGTAACGCATGTCCTTGCAGCGTAGCCCTACGAGGGCCCGCAGCGCAAGTCCGATTCCCAGCGCGTCGAGAAGACCGCTCTACGAGGAACGTGAAACTCGGGCCAGCCGCCGCAGCCAGGGACAGGCTGCTGAATTGGGTTTGCTGCCGGACAAGCCCAAGCCGAAGAAGACGACGATGGCCAACCAGCCGCAGACCCCGGCCGCTTCTGCCGTCGTTTACCTGCCCGTCGTACCGCGGACGTATGAACGCGTTGCCCTCCACAATGGCTGGACCGACGAGCAGCTCCTGCACAACGTCTATATTTTGCTTGAGGGGACCTCCAAGCACTGGTACGAGAACCATGAGTCCTCTTTGACGTCGTGGGACATTTTCAAGACCGATCTGAAGGCTACATTTATCAATCACCACCGCCAAGAGAGAGCCGAGGAGGACCTACTCCGAACCAGACCCAGGGCCCCACCCCAACGAGAGCGTCACAGGCTTCGTGGAGAACGTTCTGAGCCTGAGCGCCCGCGCCGACCCTCGGGCTACAGAAGAGAAGAAGCTACGAATCCTCATGCGCGGGGTGAGAGACGACATCTTACGAGGCCTCGTCCGCAACCCGCCGGCAACCGTCGACGCCTTCGTCACCGAGGCAACAAACATGGAGCGCGCCCTCCAAGCGCGCGCTTCCCACTACCAGCGGCATCCAAGGGGCACTGCAACCGCTCTGCTTAGCGGCAAAAACGCTCCAAGTACGGACGTCCGAAAACTTATCCGGGAGGTAGTCCGGGAGGAAATCCGCCGGTTGCTGCCAGCCGCAAGCCGTCCAGCGACACTCCCCATCACCGAGGCTGTGCTCGAGGAAGTACAACGGGCGGTCCACCCTGAAGTTCCCATCAACACGGCGACACCGGATTAACCGACGTTAAGCTACGCCGCAATGGTCCGACGAACCCCACCAGTCCCGCGTCCGCACATGGCGCCCCCTTAAGTGTGCCTCCAGATTCGCAGCGTTCCCGACGCCAGGAAGATCGAGCACACATTCGTCCAGAACGAGTTGCGCTAAAAAAGACCGACGTCTGGAGGACGGCCGACCGACGCCCGCTGTGTTACCACCCAACGCCCCTCGACCACGTCTCGGTAAGCGACCTCGGGACATCGAGGACTACCTCCGTCGCTCTTCGTCTCCTGAGTCAACTCCCCGCCGAGGATTCCGTTCACCGTCCCCCCGACGCTAGTCATCGCCCTTCCGCCTGTCTCGCCGAGACAGCCTGTCACCCATCGCTTCCCGTCGGGAAAGCTAGGCGCGGAAATGCCGGGAGGTGGTGTTGTCGAAGACGAACGATGCCAAGATACTGTAGATCGTCGGGGCACTCCCACTCTAATGCCGCAACGCCCCGAAACGACATTTTTGCAAGACTGTCGAATAACCTCAACATTATTATCGACGGCCACGACGCGACGGCACTCGTCGACACCCGAGCAGACTACTCCGTTTTGAGTGGGAGACTCTCTCGCCCCCATCGGAAACTTACGACGTCGTGGGACGGACCGCAGATACGAACCGCCGGCGGACATCTCATCACACCTGTTGGCAGGTGTAACGCTCGCGTTGAGATCCACGGTGACACCTGCCCTGTGAAGTTCGTCGTTCTGCAAGACTGTTCGAGGGACGTCATTCTCGGAATAGACTTCTTGTGGGAATACGGCGCCATCATCGACCTTGGGGAGACCAAGCTGACGGTTCGGAAACCTGTCCCATCGGCGGAAAATTCCAAAGCGATGTTAGCTTCAATGCGAGTCCATACCAGCCATGTAAACCTGCCGCCGCTGTTGAGTGTCTTTGTGCCCGTCGGGGCCGAAGAAGCCACCTGCGGTGTAGCACTCTTGGAAGGAAGCGTCCAACTTCTCCTTGGACGAGGGATTTGCGTTGCAAGAAGCGTAACCGAGCTCCAGGACGGGTGTACCCTAGCCCTTGTCACCAACTTCCGGCAAGAGACGCAGCACCTTACAAAGGGTACAGTTGTGGGATACGACGAGGAAATTCAGGACTCGGCCGCGATTGCCGCGATCTCAGAAGACGCCTCTCCGACGCAGCACAAGA